TTAAATAATAATCGTAGTTGTATGCAAACTGGTCGTAGTTGGTCAAATGCAAACGAAATTCGCCATAAAATACAGATAAATCGTAGTGGTTGGGCATCATCTGAATTTTAGCATCATGCGCCATATCATACCCACATATGTGTTAATACGCAAAATATTATGTTACTAATCTAGCTATAGGTAATGCCCTGCAACACACAATGTTGTAGCGCACTAAATGGTGCATGTCCTGTAACAATTATAACATGCACGGCAGCCGCTAAACTAATAATTAAAATGAGCACTCTTTTGTAACTAGTATCATGCAATCATACGCTAACGTTGGCCCAACCGTCATGCACCACCACTTCCCAACCATGACCATGCCAACACATACAGCCAACGTTGGCCCAACGTCATGCAGCACACACTTAGCCAACTATCGACCATGCCAACATACATCAACGGTTTGGCCCAACGTCATGCAGCCAACCATTTTGCGCGAACGGTGACCCAATGCAAACCATACGCCAACGTTGGCCCCAACGTCATGCAGCCAACCACTTGCCAACTATGACCCATGGCCAACCATACACCAACGTTGGGCCCAACGTCATGCAGCCACCATTTGCCAACCGTACCATGGCCAACCCATCGCCACGTTGTCCCAACTCATGCAGCCAACCATTTGCCAAACCGTGACCATTCCGACCATGACGGCAACGTTGGCCGAACGTCATGGCAGCCAACCATTTGCAACCGTGACCATGCGACCATATGCAACGTTCGGCCCAACGCATGCAGCCAACCACTTAGCCAACCGTGACCATGCCAACCATACCCACGTTGCGTCCGAACGTCATACAGCCAACCATGCCAACTTAGCATCATGGCCAACCATAGCGCAACGGTTGGCCCAACGTCATGCAGCCAACCATTTGCCAACCTAGCATCATGCCAACCATACGCGAACGTTGGGCGCAAACGTTATGTAAGCCAACCACTGGCCAACTTAGCATTTGTGCCAACCATACGCCAACGGTTGGCCGCAACGTCATACGCAAGCCAACCTTTCCAACTAAGCAATCATGCCAACCATACGCCAACGTTGGGGCCCAACGGCAATGCCGCAGCCAACACCTTGCCAACCGTGACCATGCCAAACCAATACGCCCAACGTTGGCCCCAACGTCATATTGCCAACCACACTGCAACCATGACCGTGCCAACGTTTGCCAACGTTGCGCCAACGTCAATATGCCGAACCGTGACCGTGCCAACCAAAATGCAAGGCACGTTGGCCCAACGTAAGCATGCTATCTGGTGCTCTTTATTCTAGAATGAGTTAGGGGTAGGGTTTCAGGTAGGTAGCGCCCATACGGCCGCATGGACATGGTTACCAAATGTTCTGGCCCCGTGGCTACATAGACGACATAGACGCCCCGGGCTACCAAAAATCTGGCCGCCTACACTCCAGGCGGCCGGCGTGGCTACACTCTCCATGGCCGCGTGGCTAACCTCCCATGGCGCAGTGGCTACACTCCATGGCCGCGTGGCTACACTCCCATTGCCGGCTACAGATCCATAGCTGCACACTCGATGGCCGTGTACATCCATGGGCCGCGGGCTACACTCCAGCCGGCTAACTCCAGGCCGCGTGGCCTACACTCCATGCGCGCCGGGCGGCGGGCTCCACTCCCGCTGCGCCGGGGCCGTGGGGCGCGTACCGCCGCCGCGGCGCGGCGCGCCCCCGGCGCCCCCCCCCCGGCCCACGGCCCGCTGTGCTACACTCCATGGCCGCGTGGCTACACTTCCCATGGCCGGCGTGTAACTGGCGCGTGTACACTTCCCATGGCCGCGTGGCTTACAGCTCCAGCTGCGCGTGGCTACACTCCCATGCATGAGCCTCCATGGCGCGTGGCTACACTCCCATGGCCGCGGTGGCTTACCACTCCATGCGCGGACTCCCATTGGCCGCGTGGCTACACCTCCCATGGCCAGCGTGGCTACACGGGCGCGGCAAATGGTTACATCAGCGGCCGGTTGACATTTTGTGGCTTTGCCTACAAGTAACAAATAGCGTGTGCACAGAGGGGGTGGGCTTCTCAGCAAAAATCCTAAATCATTTACTTAATCTACCGGAATTCCGTATTTCGCAAATTAGGTCAGGAAATTACCGCAATGACTCAAATTTTGGGTTAGAATAGATGAAAATGTAGCTGAATTAAAAAATTCTAGATAAAAATACTAGGAATGTTTATGTAGCCGGAGGCCACTTGACAACCAGGTTCGTCACATATCTTATGGATCGAATGAGATATCGATTTAGCAAATAGATCGCGTGTAGCCGCCTAGACGTCCTCATATCATCCACCCAACGATATCGCCGACATTGCTATGTTTCTTAGTATTTTTAAAAATTCGGAGAAAGTTTTCAAAAAAAGGAGGTGGGTTTCAGGCTTACGGCTTGATGGAGTTAAGGGGTAGGGTTTCAGGTACGCCAGAATTTCCTGCATAAATTAGTAGCCGTTTCTTTTCAACACGTTTTTTTTCTATAGTTAAATAATTTCTTATGCAGAAATCACTCACGACGAAAGTATGCTTTATGAAATTAGGAATTCACTCACATTAGAAACACTGATTCAAGGATTAAGCTGAGAACACGAGCTTATCAGCGCAAAGAAAACATCTGAGTAACTGAGCATCGTTTAATAATGTAATTTTCATTGCAACTGATGATATATAACACGCATTAGGAATATCACTAGGACCGAACAATAATAAACAGGACCAATTTATTTTGTGATCAGCTCACACCAAATGATTGGTTTTTCTGACTTTTGTTTCTTGATTTTATGTGAACTGATTGGAACACCTTTTTCGTAATGTTATCACAACCAAAATGCATGTTGTGTGTGTGGTGTGTGTTGTGTGTGTCTGGTGTGTAGTGTGTGTTTGTGTGTGTGTGCACGACGTGTGCACCGCGCGCGTGTGTGTGCGTTTCCTTTTCGCTGCGCTTCCTTTGTGTGTGTGTGTGTGTGTGTGTGTGTGGTGTGTGGTAGTGTTGTGTGTGTGTGTGGCAGCGGGCGTATACAGGGAGGGGCGGCGTCGAGGGCATCCGCGACTCCCCCCGCCCCTGCTCGCGCAGAAAAGAGCATCTGAGGTCTATTTCAAAATTTTTCTTGGCGGAGGGCCCCCCATCCCCCCCCCCCTTCGCGTGCTCGCTACTGGTGTCCCCCCGCACATTTCAAAATGGATATTGCGCCCTGCTTATGTGACCTGGTGCATGCTAACGAATGTGATTTGTAAAACAATGCAAAATCAAACACCACTGGCGTTAATTAATGGTAAATAAGACAGAAGCATTTATTTGGTATTTTTGTATTCTGCATACATAGGATGTCTACACACAGTTCGTGTACATGCTCGTTGCCATGGTTACGTATCAGGAAGCGGTTACATATATTATCAGGAGTGGAATGACAGAGATGCATTCTGGATATTATATATATATATATATACAAGAAAAAGAGCACCGAAACAGCAGAGTAAGGAATACGAATTCGGTTGTTGCATTGGCTCTGCCCTCGCACCTGAAAACTACAAGTGAAAGACTATACAAGTATAGTGATCCCTAGCTCTTCCACGTGTTAGCTGCCTTCTTCCTCTTCAAAATCCAACGATACGACGTGCATAGACAAAATTCGAATAAATACGCGGAAAGCTGTGTTGGAACGTGGAATGTATTCATAATAGATACAAACAGGAAGATCAACTCAGATACGGTACAACTAGCAACTGACCTAATATAACCCAGACCTTTGAGAGTTGAATCTATTATTAAATATTATAGATCATAAGAAACTTATCAACTACTCCTCACACCCGGTGCTTGTGTATCAATAACACTGCTTCTGTGTCTTACATTAGCTACTGAGCCATACATATGCATGTTACGTATACTGAGTGAAGGCAAATTCTTACTTGATCACCGTAATAAATAGTCGCATCCACACGCACGCACGCACACGCACCCACGTACGCACAGCTATGTACACGTTTCTCACCCACAAGCCCCTATTACACACATCCAACAACCACGAAACTCTCCCCCCTCTCTCTCTCTCTCCCTCCCTCCCTCCCTCCCCTCTCTCTCCCTTCTCTCTCTCTCTCTCTCTCTCTCTCTCCCCCCCCCCTCTCTCTCTCACTCTTCTCTCTCTCTTCTCTCTCTCTCTCTCGCTCTCTCTCTCCCCCCTCCCTCCCCTCCCTCTATCCTCTCTCTCTCTCTTCCTCTCTCCTTCTCTCCGTCTCTCTCTCTCTCTCGCTCTCTCTCTCTCACCTCCTCACCTCTCTTCTCTCCTCTCTCTCTCTCTCTCTTCCCTCCTCTCTCTCCCTCCCTCTCTCTCTCTCTCTCTCTCTCTCTCCTCTCTCTCCCCCTCTCCTCTCCCTCCCCTCCTCCTCTCTCTCTCCTCTTCTCGTCTCTCTCTTCTCTCTCTCTCTCTCTCTCCCCTCCTCTCATCTCTCATCCCGATCATCTCTCTCTCTCTCTCACCCTCTCTTCACTCTCATTTATAACTGGCATTACTATTAATAACATCAGGTGATAACCAGACATAGAATATATGTCAGCATTAATATGTCAACAGGAAACACCATAGTGGCTGGGTCTCCTCATAAAAGCAATATAAATATTCCTCGTGGCGAGGCATATACAGGCATCTATATAATAGAACATGTATTCATTAAATATACCGATATTTTTATAATAAGCCACTAAATTCTTCTCTCTCATCCATTCATCTCCCTCAATGATGGACCTTAACCCATCCCTACATCTAATGCAGTCACGTCATCATTATTTGTGCACATACGTCACTGTAGCTCCCATCTATACACGATACGCAGATAAATCCATACTTATACCAAAACTTACTAAAAACTATTATACACGGCAAAATATTTGTTGGCAAGTCGTCTGCAGGGGGCGCCACGTCTCTCTCAGGGCAGGGGGCGCCACCCTAGCTCACATCTCACGGATACAGAAGCAGCAACCACGAGACCAGCACACAACACGTTATCAGAAACCTCCAACTCCCCGACCCGACCCGACCCACACAAATAGAAAGACAGAACTTTACACACACACACACAATACAAGGCACGGCGTCAGCACAGCGACCGACACCAGCTTCCTTCTACAGTGTCACGCGTCAGCACAGCGACCGACACCAGCTTCCTTCTACAGTGTCACGCGCCAGCAATGAAAGAGACATCCGCCCCCATCGTCCCTCACCGCACGCGATGACACACCAGCAAAAACACATGGTGATACATGGTCCCCTGCGAGTACAAGGAAGGAGTGAAGGAAGAGAGGAGCGAAGGAAGGGAGGAGTGAAGGAAGGAAGGAAGGAAGGAAGGAAGGAAGGAATGAAGGAAGGAAGGAAGGAAGGAGCGGTAAGTCGACACGACGTCCTATTTCATCCGCATGAACATTCTTCCTCCGCGTGACATTCTACACGATGCAGGAATCTGGAAAAGCTTCTTCCTTCCTCTTCTTCCTCCTTCAATGCGAGGCAGGGACCGGGGAATGTTCCTTCCTCCACCAGCATCCTCCCGCCGGCATCCGTGCGACCCCCGGCAACGCGGCGCGGCGGGGTCCAGGGTTCGAGTCCTCATGGGTTCCACTTGTCTAGACAGAGTTCAGGTGACGCCCTCCAGTCGTCTGCACTGATGCATGAGTCATCGAACTCTGAGCGGCCGGCGAAGACGCACGCGCCGACGTACGCAGCGTGGTAGCGGTGCGGCGACGAGTTCACCTGGTGGCGGAAAACGGAATCGCTGTCGTTACTAAGCGACTGATAATGATGCCGTTGTCATTGTCTGACATTGTAGCATCCATCTTACAGTGATTTACAGCACACATCTCCCTCTCTTACTTTCTCTCTCCATCCCCCCTCTCCCTCTCTCTCGCACACACACATGCTTTCAGTTAGGCTGTACACAAACAAACCAACGCACAAACCCACAAACCAACAAATACACTCCGGTGAAAACATAACCTCCTGCCAACCCCTTGGCCGAGGTAATAATAATAATTGTGTTAATAAAATAGCAGTAGTTATAGATCATGCAAATAATTTGGAGAATCTACATATAATGATTGAAAAACAACAGATAACAAGAAATGCAGAACTTTGGTGTTTTCTGTCATGCACAGGCTCTAATAGTGAGCCGACTTGGGCCAGGACCCAATTTTCGGTTTTTTCGTTTAGAATTATATGCCTATTTCTAAGATAAATGAAGTGTCTACCTAGTGTGAACTCTCTCTTATTGTCTCACTCTATGGTCTCACTTAGTATTGTGCACATCGTGGCTTAAAATTACACTAAAAATCAACTCTAAACTGAATAAAGGTTATTATATTTTCATTTATTTGGCAAAAAAACTGTACAAAAGGTAACATTGCAACAGTTGGTAACTTGGTAATAAATGTTGACCCCACATCTGAAAGAAGAATAGTGTCAGACAATGGGTCCGGTATGCAAGTAAGATCTGTCAGACTTGCACCTAAAAAAACACTTTAGTCTGACAAGTTTGATGCATTTCGCATTCTCTGCCATAAAAAAGTATATATAGGCTACATATATACATATATATATATGTATATAAACTACATACAATGATGTATACTTACTGTACACAACAATTAATAAAATGTTGACAATTAACAATTAATGTTAATATAGCAGGAAACTGACCCTTTATGGCTGGAAGTGTAACGCTTGGTGTTTTGCGTGGGCACTGGTATATTGCGTACACCAACGTCAGGAGAAGGATCGACGTCTTCATCTCTAACCTGCTCATCATCCAAATAATCTTCATTCCTAATACTGAAAAATCAATTATACAGAAAAGCATGTCAACACTAAAAATGCATGTCTCCAAAATTATGAAAATGTGGCCATTTCATCAGCGCGTATCTAGCAATATTTGCCAATATAATTTACGGACCAACTTTTACACCTGTTGTATGTATAACAGTTGCTTCAACCCTCATCTTTGACTTAAGAGTGGGATAACAAATTTATGCATAGTACAATATGACTGTGCCATAAAACACACATTAATACCTGTACTTATTCAGACTCAATAGTTGGCCTTCCTTGATACAGTTGTCGATGTAGCTACTGTAGTAAAACACACCAGTCTGAGGTCGTGGCACCTTATGGCCTCTTTTTACGAAGCACAGTGAACCTTGTTCAACTTTGGCCACTACTTTGCCTCCACAATCCTGTTAGTAAAAAATATAATTACTTTTCTATTTATGGATTTGGTAACTCTTTGCACACCTTACCTGTCAACTTAATTGATTTATGGGTGAATTGATACCAATTATGATTGTGGAAAAAATGCTGCAATCCAATTTTAATTTGCTGATCTTTCCTAATATGGCTATTAGTTCTAAATTGCCTATCTCACTATACAGGAATGACATTTTTTTAAATAATATAAACTGAAAATACAGTATTTTTTTTGTATTACCTTTTTCTTCACTTAGCACATTAAACCAATATTTCACTGTTTTGTTCAATATAAACAAAATTCAGGACTTGATATATATTTTACATTGATCAATTTCACTACACACCAAAAAGGTAAATCTCTTGAATTTGGAATTTTTGAGCTATTCTGATATTAATTTTACATTAAAAATAATACTATTACTAATACCAATTACCTTACTATTGCTGATAAGGTCTATGTCTCCCTGGGTACTGGCGGAACCTACCCTGGGTACGGTCCGGTATACCGGAACGTACCCTGATAACTATCTGATATGGTTAGGGTTAGGGAGTAGGCGTAGGCGACTCCCTAGACTCGTTACTGGAGTAGGCGAGGTAAGGTCCGGCATATTAGATAGTACCAGGGTACGTTCCGGTATACCGGACCGGACCCAGGGCACATTCCGGCAGTACCCAGGGAGACATCTAGACCCTGGCAGCCTTACTATTTGGTACAACTAGCCTAATTTTCCCAGAGATATCTAGTGAATCCGTGAGAAAAACTCCCACGCCACGGCCACGTAAACGGGAGCAGCTGTCAGTATATTACCCGAAACTGCCTAACCGCGCTACTCGATTGTTTGGGCAATTAACGCAGTCGTGTATGTGTCGCCATTCCTGCACGAATCATGTTGGCTCAACTTGGCGGGGCTCGTCATGGAGCTCACAAGCAGGGAGTGATTGAACCCAGATGCAATGCGGTGCAATTATTCATGTATAAAGAAAGTTTCTCCCATTTACATTGTCATTGCCATGGGGTGCGAGTTTTCCTTGGAAATTCACCTGATTTCTCTGGGGGTTGCATTCCACCAAGCTGTAAAGGCAATAATTCGAACAAGTGACATAAACATTCAGCTACGCACAGTACTAATCCATTGCCCAATATGGAGGCAGTTGTTTGTGTATTTGTGCTGTCATGGTGTGAAACGAAGTGAGCGTTGTGCAAATTTGGCGTTCACGCTCTCCCACCTTAAGGCTAAGCTGCTCTATATGTCTATTGAAATTGTTTGTGTACAGCAGCGTGCGTGCGGTTAAGATTGCGCGTTTCCAAAGACCATTTGTATATATATATAAATGTATGTATATATATATATATATATACGTAATGATCTATGTAATGATCTGTATATAATGATAACTGCTATGACGGGTAGTTTGAAGCAGGAAGGGAGAGCTTACGTTTAGAACCGAGGATTCCAGCTCTCACCGACGAACTTCCCAGATCCACTATGATCACCTGCTGCAAGAGAAACAAGCGGCATCGTCACGGTAACCATCACACAACAGACGAGCTCTAGTCAGGGCTGAAGCTAGCAGGGTGGAGGTCAAGAAAAAGATGGCTGTTGTTGTTTGTGGGAGTTCCTTCACAGCGAAATGTAGACAGTGTTACAGCACACAACCCGCATGTGGCCTGCCTATCTATCTATCTATCTATCTATATGGTTACGTAGATCTATTGATAGTTACCTTGTTGGGATGAGGTGTGAACGTGAGGGAGGGTTGTACGTACAGAGCCTGTCTGTTCTCTACGACCTGACTGCTCAGTGACAGCTTCCACAGATGCTTGTCTTTAGCACTGAGTGTCTTCACAACAAGAAACCGACCTCGCTGTAACAACAACAAAAGAAACGCGGTTAACCAGAGAATAGTGAAATACTGATTAAAAATACACCAGAGAATGGGATAGTGAAATACTGATTAAAAATACACCAGAGAATGGGATAGTGAAATACTGATTAAAAATACACCAGAAAATGGCATCGAAAGAAATATATAAAAACCCTGTTAAGAATTCACAAGGGCTACAGTAGCGAACACATAACCTTCGCTCAATGGTAATGCTTGTAAGGGTGAATCTGTGACAGCTAGATGTAGAAAGACAGGGTCTAACACTAGAACAATGGACATTCCACTGCAGCCGGACAACAGACACACACAAGATGTCAAACCTTGATGATCTATATGGTTTTAGAATCATTAGTAAGAACATTAATTATAATTATCAATGATCTGACGTGTGTAAAACAATGACGATGGCCTGTTTGTTGCAGACGACATTTCGTGACGTGTGATTGGTCGGTTCGCTCACCCCGTCATCGATTCCCAGCATGTCCGTTCCCATGTCCTCGACAGCGCCCCCTGCCAGCTTCATGCACCCGCTCGCCTGCTCTCTGTTACCTCCCTGAAACAATAGAACGTCTGGCAGTGAGTTTAACTAGAGGGAGGGGGTGGGAGGGGTTTTTACTCTAGAGGGAGGGGGTGGGAGGGGGTTCACCTCACCTCATAGTAATACAGATAGCCATCTCTCGCTCGGAAGAATCTCCGCTTCCAGCTTTTCCAGAACGTTGATTTCTTCTTGCCTAGCGGGAGCTTCTCCATGTAGCCCTCCATCGGGATGTAGGTGGGCGTCTCCTCCTCCGATGCAACACTGGCTCCTTCCTGCGGTGGAGGCTCGATCCTGTACAGCTCCCGGAGCAAGGTCGTCTGCAGGGGGCAACGAGTTAACGAGTTAACGAGTTAACGAGCTGATGAGCATGAGTGATGGGTGATGATCGCGAGACCAAGAGAGTGAGAGAGGGCGGGTGAGGGAGAGGGGGAGAGAAAGAGAAAGAAAGAAAGAGAGAGAGAGAGAGAGAGGTAGGGAGACAGAGAGAGAGAGAGAGAGAGAGGGAGAGTGATGAAGGGAGAGACAGACAGAGAGATCACATAGTTGCCACTGTTATGCACGTGCAAGCCGAAGGTCAACGATCTGCGGTATAATAAAAGTTTTTTCATGGGAACTTATTTTCATAGTTGCCATTAAGCTCAAAATGGAGGCAATTGTTAAAAACGTGTTTTGCTCGACTACTTCAGAGTTAATCATCGTCCTGACGACCGCAGGAAATCTCCGCTCGACGTAATGAGACCTAATTCTCTGTTTGCTGTCAGAACGAGCGAAACGAGCGAAAACCGGAGACAATTCACGTCGACAGCTGTCATTCATCTATGCTCCCCCCTCCACCCCCTCCTCCCTCCCCCTCCCTCCCCGCGCCACCCCTCCCCTCCTCCTCCCCTGTGGTAACTTACAGGATCCCAGTACTTCATTCGCGGAGCGTCGTCTATGAGTTCATCCATGCATTGGCGCTCAATTGTTTTAAGCCCTCCCGCGTCAGCCCGCTCGCCAGCAGCGGAAAGCTTGTGGCACAGGAAAAAAACACAGTGGCAGCGTCAGATAACCATCGCGTCGTTGGCCATCTCTCTCGCATTCCCATTCCCTGTAGATTCACCATCATATATTCAACTGTTTATGTTATATTTCCACAGTCACACTTATATATTCAACTGTTTATGCTTATATATTCACATCACATCATATATTCAACTGTTTATGTATATATTATTCAACCTGTTTATGTTAATATATTCATGTGTTTTCATTATAAAAAATCTTACTCTTAACAGTTTACGTGGTTAATAGTTGGCCTTGACCCAGTATACGACAGTCGGCGCGAGTCATTAATTCCCCCAATGGATCAACTCTTCCTAAAACTCTTCGCGCATGCAGGCATTGCATAGCTTAAGTAACAGCTCTTTCCTACAACATCCAAACATACAATACAAATACACAATACAATCCTACAACATCCTACAACAATATTAGTGAGGAGTTTATGCCGGTGATGCTGCTTCGTTGTTTGTTTACGTTTGTTACATTTCTTCTATATTTCGATCAGCTACTAGTAGGAAAAGAGGTTCAAGAAATCTTGCATCAGTAAGCTGCGAAGATTCTAGCGCAGCCTACCGTATCGGTGGTAGGGCGGTTTAGGGCAGTGGTGGTCTGTGAGTGGTGAGGCAGGTCTCCAAAGACTTTTATCATTATAGCATGAGCGTGTTGCTGCCTTTCGGTCTAGTTGCAAATCGCGAAGTGCTGTTTCGTGCTAGGGGGTCGGGGATAGGATATTTAGACAGTGGCGGCGTGCATTTTAGGATGGCGGGTCTCCGACGATTAGCCTGGCGGGGCCCGCCGGCTATAGGTGATCAATTGAGGAGAACCCTGAGGGGTCCATCGAGTGTGGAACTCACTCCCCATCTATCGCGCATGTTTGTGAGTAGGTGGTGAAGTAACAGTTTAGGGCAGTGGTGGTGGGTGGTGATGGGGGGGGGTTCATCAGGTGGAAACTCACTTCCCCAAGTCGTGCCGCGCCACGTGTGTGAGTAGGATGGTGCGGGTAACAGTGTTAGGGGCAAGTAGTGTGGAGTCGACAGTGAGCGGGGGTCCATCTAGTGTGTGAACTCTTCCCATCGTGGATACCATGTGTCGTGAGTAGGCTGTACGGGCTAACAGTGCTTAGAGGCATGGTCGGGTCTGTGATGAGGGGGTCATCAAGTGTGAACTCGCCTCCCATCGTGCGTAAGATTGTGATTGTGAGTACGGTGTAGCCGGGAACAGTTGTTAGGGACAGTGAGTGTGTGTACTGGGCCCGTGGGGTGGGAGAGCGTCCATGCGTGATTGGAATCTCCCCATGGCGTACATGTGTGTGGTACGATGGTGTGGATACCGTGGTTAGGCAGAGAGGTGGATAGGGTTGGGTCGAGGGGGCTCCATCAGCTGTTGGAATCACTCCCCATCAGTAGCCGCAGTCTGTGGTATGTCGGTTAGTTAACAGTGTTAGGCGGCAGTGGTCGGCGGTGGTGAGGGAGTCCATACGAGTC